AATTCCTTCCCCTCACTTCAGAAGATGGGAAATACTGCCAGACCGGGTAACTTCCACAACAAAGGAACCATTTTTAAATATAGCTGCAATTTCTTGACAATTTTGGGCAACGCCAGCCTAGAATACAGCAGGAAAGCTGATTCACCCTTTAGAGAAAAGTGATACTATAAAAACAAATTTGAACTTGGTACAATTTGCCATTCTACAAAGACACTTTTGCATCAAAGCAATGGAAAATGTGCTTTGGAGAAGCTTGGCATAACTAATATCCAGGATGCATGTCTTCCTCCCCACCAAGACTCTGAGATATTTATAAAAGCAGACATACCTCATCAGTTCAGTAATTCCCCCAAAAACAAAGAGAAGTAGTGTGAACTAGTTGTGCTGTGCAGACCAAGTGCTGTGCGGAATTTAAGAATTTAACCAAAAGGAAGTGGAGCTGACAGATATCATCTGATACATGATTAGCAAGTAGACACTAGGAATGCTTAAGACATAAATAATAGCATTGATATGTAAGAGGATTAAAATGTATTACATAGTGTAACACGATTGTTGAAGTGTGTGCATATGTGTATATGCGTGAAACTGTACATAACATTTAGTGAGAACCACAAGCCTGATCTCTTTCAGACAGTTTATTTCGTAATAAGAATAAAACTCTTATGGATTGAGACAATGAGGCCAATATACAAAATCAGTTACAAATCATAATAGATCTAATAACATTCTGTCAGTACCTGCTCAGGAAGTAAATGCTTTACAAACATGCAGTGAATACATTGTTTAAATCCTCTGTGTATGCATCTTGTCATCACTGGAAGAGATGAGAGCAGAGGAGTGGCTGCTGTCTGCTCTGCAGGGGTTCAGTTCCGGCTCTAGCCAGCAGCAAAAAACCAAAATCTCCAGAGTTTTAATTCTCTCATGAGTCAATAGTCTTCCATATACACACACATATAGAGCATAAAAATAGCCTCAAGCGCTTCTGAACCTGTGAGTCTTGCCAGCTTGACCACACTCTCTGGGTAGTCCAGGAATTCAGACAAAAACATCAATCAAAGGACGCAGCTGTACTGGAATGTGTTCAGCCACCACTCCCACTCTGAGAGTTTGAGATTATTTTAGCTACTGTTTTCTGCTCTGGGGTTTCATTGTCATTAGTCAGTGGAAATTGCTTGGTTATTCACGGAGTACAAAATGATAGTATATGTAATTATAATTGTCATTACGTATATGTTTATTTATGCACACACAGAGACTCATGCAAACACAGATACACATCCTGACTGATGGATTGAGTTTTCAGCCCTGCACAGGGAGCAGAAGTTCATGATTCTGTTAATGTAAGAGTTACATGTCTAATTCCGTTCAAGCGTAATGACCCTATACTTAGAATCGAGTACATAAAAGGGGACAATTGTTACTCCGTATTACTCTGTGTAAAGTTCAATAATATGATTGTCTGGCCTCTGCAATGCTGAACTCAACTTGAGGCTGCCTGGGGCAGCCTTGACAATACTGTTGGTAAAAATTGGCACTGATCCATCGACTGCAATAGATGTTGTGCCAGTTACAGCAGCAATAAATTCTGCCCAGTCATTTTGTCTACTCCCATATCAAAAGAAAAACTTTTTGAAGTACTTATTTAAAAAACTGAATATGATTCTTTTTGATAATACTAGCCTGATGTGCAGTTCTACTGTTTCGTTTAATTATGCAGTTTTGAGCAAAATTTGATGATTCTTGTGCATTTTATATTGTGTTTTTTTAAGTCAGAGGAAACCCCATTCCCCTGACCCAATATTTATCAGTATAGATTCCTGTGTAAATAAAGAGCTGACGAGTTTAAAATAAAAATAGATCAGTAAATAAGGATTTCCCAAAAGCCATAACAATGCATTTGCTTTTTCCCCTCCATTTCAATTCTTTGCAGATGAAGAGCTTTTTTCAGGAATGTATATTGATTTCATGGGGACGGATGCGGCCATTTTTCGGAGCCTGACCAGGAGGAATGCAGTGCGAACCGACCAGCACAACTCCAAGTGGCTGAGTGGTGAGATGCCTTTGTTTTACCAGAGCTTTTAATGGGTTTCACGGAGATTCTCCTTTCTTTTGCTTCAAATAAAGAGCTTGTCTTTTAAAGAGCTTTTCTCTGAATTTAGTTTATGAAGTTGAACCATGAAGAAATGAGTGCAAATACATATTGTAGACAATGCACAGATATAAAGAGTTCACTGCATGAGCCAACCTCTTAGGCTGCCCCACTTGATGACCTTGTTTGCATTAAGACTGAACCAAACTTGTCAAGGGAAAGCATATGAAAACCTCTCAAATGGCAAGCAGTCAGACAATCTGACTTCTAGGGAGTTGCCTTGTCCACCTCTAATGCATCAGACATTGCCTTAAATTAGAGAGCTTGATTCTAAGTTTTTTTTAATGAACTACCAACTTTAGTTGATTCAGGCTGATCCACGTCTGTACAGAAGAATCACCACCACTTGCATTCAAAAATGTGTGCAGAAGAGAGTCTCGTTGTCAGAGAAGTCAGTGACAATTACATTTATTTCAGTGTTAAGAAATTGATTATCAAAACACTTTTATCAAAACACAATTAGGAAAACTAATTTCTGAGTGCGAACACTTAACTCTTGGCTTCACCAAAATCAATGTGAAAATTTTCCCTGACTTTACTGATAAGACGACTCCTTCCAAATAAGCTATTTTGGATTAAAAAGATGGTCAGCCCTCTGAGCAGGGATAGATGTGGAAGGTTAGAGAGCAACTATCATAGCAGTTTCAATTTAAAAAAGCCTTCAAGTACGTTAAAGTAAATTTAATGTGTTTTTGTCTTGACTATTTTTAGGATGACTCTTGTTATTCTTGTGTGACTACAGTGAAATCACAGGATTTCAATCAGAATCAGTTCAATTGACTTTGAACAGGAAACTGTGTCTGCTTTCTAAATTGTTTCTCTGTTTGCTATTCTTGCACTTACCTGTACACCCTGAAGTGTGCATCCTAAAGGGAATTAGGAAAAAAGAACCATTAAAATGCCTGATTTCTGGAAAATCTACCTATTACGTTTGTTCAGAAAAGATTTGACAAGCACAATTTATTTCCATGTTGTTTTAGAGCCAGAGTCATCACACTTGTTATATTAGTTGAGAATGGGCTTACGTGAATAGAAAAATGCTGCAATTTAAAGTGAGTTTTCTATCAGACATCTAACCTTTGTATCGGATTGTTTCAAGATTTGTATTGCATTTCAACCGATCAAGCAATCTTGCATGATCCTTGGGAAGATGTAACCTTCATGCAGGTAGCTTCTTCCTTCAGCCAAAGAAGAGGTCTTCTGATGACTCCCTCCACTGTCCATTATATTTTAGCATAGGAAATTGCCAAAAACATATGTTCTGCAAGTACACCAATAGAGGTGGATGCCTGCTTAGAGACTGCAAGAAACTAGTGCACAGTCACCTGTCATAATGTAGATTTTAAATTACATTATACTAGTTTTACATTATATTTACATTATACTAGTGCTTCTTTACAGTTTTGTGTGTTTACCAGCCTCTGATATGAACTCAAATGCTGTTCAAGCATTTGCATATTCTGCTTTCCTTTTTCAGTGTTCTAACAGCTCTTTTCCTCTTTTACACATTTTGGAACTACCTTATTTGTTCTTTTCCTCAAAAGCCTTTTAGCACTTGTCTGTTTTGCCGCAGTGAGTCTTTCCTTAAGTGCCCCCGATAACACACTGATTCTCCCTTCTTCCTCCTCCAAGCCTTTGAATCTCTGCAGTAATCTAATACTATTGCTTCAGTATTTGAAACACTTTTCTAAAAATCTGCAGTGGAATAAAATGTGAGGATGTAGAAACTTAAGGCTGTCAGCAAGAAGCCATTTACCTGGTGACATCTGGTATATCCACACATGAGGCTAGAGCATATAGCCTAACCTGCCGCAGCAGTAACTCTATGTATTACATAGCATTTCTTTGAAGCAGTCAGTAACCATCAAATCATTATTCGCTTAATACTGATACATGTTTTGGTTTCATCTTTTTGGTATACTGTTTCATTGCAGAGCCTATTTTTGTGGATGCTCATGTTATCCCAGATGGCACTGACCCCAACGATGCCAAAATCTACTTCTTCTTCAAAGAGAGACTCACAGACAACAGTGGCAGCACAAAGCAAATTCATTCAATGATTGCAAGAATATGCCCGGTAAGAACTATTTTGTTTGCCAGGTTGTTGGGACAAGCTGCTAGTGTGACGTGTTAAGTTAAAAGACTAAGTTATTGAAAAGCCTTTGATTTACATTCAAAACAAATTTCCTGTTTCAGCTTCCACATTTATAATTAAGAAGAGCTGTTACTGAGCACACAGCTAGAGTCTGAACATGTCGTGTATATCTGGCTATACCTGCAATGATATGGAAATTTAGAGATTCAGGAATTCCTGTATTTCTCTGACTGACTCTGAATAGTTACCAGTGTTACTTTCCAAACTTGCTGTCCTTCACATGAATGAGGTACATTCTTTGCTTAGAAAAACTGAATTATAAGACAATGAAGTCTTTCACACACACACACACACACACACACACACACACACACACACACGATAAAAATCTTTGAAACAAACTGGAAATATCAGAACCAAACATTTAAATGGGTTGATTTAACTTTCAAATATTGTTTTAATTTTTACAATATCTGTCCTTTCCAAGTTCTTGCATTGATGTATGCGTGAGCCTAACTTTAGAGACATGGCACAGGAAAATTAAATTCAGGAGTAATGGCTACTCTTGTGCAGCAATTAATTTATGATTGCAGCACTCCTCATAGTCTCTATTTCCTTTTCCATATCTATAATCAAACGGAAGATGAAAAATGATTGAAGCAGCTATTAATATCTCTAGTGAAATGGATTTTTTTTAATGAAAGTAAAATTATAAATGCACAATTGCTGCTAGCCTTTTTATTCCTTCTTTTGGAAAAGTTCAGGAGGATAATTGTGAGTGATTGTGTATTCCTTGTCTTTAATCTGGGTCTTCTTTAGAATGTCATGCTTTGTCACGATGTTGTGCATGGGTGTGAGGGTGTGTTTGGGATTGTGTTAAACTCCTTCTCTAGCAATATGCTGAGGCATGTAATCTTTTTTATAATCTGTTTTCTATATTTTTGTGAGGATGCCCAAAGGCCTTTTTGGGTATTTTGCAAGAAGACATTTCACACGATTATAGTTGTGTTTGTTATTGTTACTGTTATAATGAAGCCCAGATGATTTCTGAAAAGGCCTCAGCCTGTTTAGACTTACACTGAAGTCAGTGGCACAATCCCAAAGCCAATGAAAATAAATCTGAGCCCTTCATATTTGTATACGGTCATATTCGCATATCAACACCTTTGAGACAGGACAAATGTATTAGTACAATGGTGCCAAGAGAGACCTCTCCAAAAGATCCCTTATGGGTCACTCAAAAGTCTGATTACTGACTCCAGGAGCACCAGTGAAACATGTCCAGCATTTCATTGGAATCACATTTGCATAGTGTCTCCATCTCTTTTTCCCCTTTCCTTGGGTGACGTGCTCTGCAGTTCGGAAGACACTGCTCTTATCTAAGGCGTTCACTAGCAGAATGAGGCAGGAGCTGCACCATCTGCTGTAGCAGTTACTGTTTTCACCTTGCCTTGGAGAGAGATGGAGAGATTCTTGAGTGAGCTGTGACCAAGCCAGCTCTGGACCAAGTTAGCAGGACTTGCAACAGTGCAAAACTAACTTGACCCATGCTAGCCATCATTTCTGAATTTAGTTCAGAGCATCCATCTCATGGGCCAGCATGGCTTACTAGGTCGGATGCAGGTATATTGCTGTCAGGATTAGAAGAAACATCCCTCCACAGGCCTATTAGACCTTTTAGTGGTAGCACGACTTCTCCACAGTTAAGTGTTGGTGAGTGATACAGACCTCCACAGTCCTTTGCAATCATACCTACACACACTGCCGCTGCGCAAAATCTGCTGCCCAACCCTCCCAGCGCAGAAAGTCTTCTCAGAAAACTAGTTCTCGTTTTTCCTGAATCTGGAGTGTTTAGATGAGGGGATTTGGTTTAGGCTCATCTATTTTTTGTATTGAATATGCCAGCGTAATTGTCTAGATAATGAGTCAAATTAACCTGAGGAAAATGTGGGAAAGCCCAGTAAAATGTTAGCTGTGTTATTTTTTTTTTCTGAAAATAATGTTCCTTTCCAGAATGACACAGGTGGTCAGCGTAGTCTCGTGAACAAGTGGACAACATTCTTGAAAGCAAGACTTGTATGCTCAGTGATGGACGAAGATGGAACAGAAACGTACTTTGATGAATTAGGTATGGCAAGAAAATCCCTTAAAAGTTTTATCTAAATCCTGCACCCTGTGCATATTTAATTATTGATGTTCGTACTGCTCCTTAGTCAAGTTGTTGACAGTAAAATCTTGGCCCTGTGAAATTCATGACAAAATTCTCCTTGCAGTTTTAGGACAGGAAATGAAAAAATTCTTCATAAATCTCTCTGGATAATTATCATTATCTTTGAAATAAAGATAATTAATCTTGACAATGTAAAGGAATTATATATGTGAAAACTTAATATTTGGAAGAGAACATGTAACTGAAGTCTATTGTTATTTTGGTCCTAGTTAGGATTATGATAGAGGGTTTTTAACATACATCTCTTTGAGACTGTTTCTTATACCACTGTATAACATACAGCTTTTCTACAATACAGTTTTTCTTTTGATCGCTGGATAGAGGCCTCAATTTGATAGTTCAAGATAATACTAATAAATCCTGTTACTGGCACCAGCAATAACACTATGAATAAATATTCAGTTAATGATCTATACAGCAGTCACAATCTATATAAGGAATTAATAGATGCATATCTTGATACTTAAGTGCCAAACAACATTATCAGAAAGGTTCAAATTCTACAGTGTCCACAGCTGTGACATAAAAAGTCATAGCTCTAAATTCAGATATTGGAAGATCTGTTATATGTATTAGTATAAATATAAGTATAAATAATAGCTAATGGGTCCCCCACTGAGGCTCCGTCTGATTCTGATCTTCTCTCCATTGTAATTTCTTTTCTCTGTCATTATTCCTGATTCTCACCAGAGCAAATGGGGTTTGGAGTCTTTTTGACTTTATACCTTTACAAATATTTGGTGTACTTGCTCTGGTTCAAGGTTTCAGTGGAACCTGATGAGCCTAGGAGCAGATCCTAACTTGCTGTAACTCAGAATATGTAAAGTGCTTGGAGGACTGACTTTCAGAAGCTCCCAGTACCTCCTAGCACTGCCACAGCAACTAGTCTTTCAGAGCTGTGATTTCCCAGCCCACTCCTCTTCAACAAAGCAGTAGGATAACTGCTTTTGGTTTTCTGTGTGACAAAATGAGGGACCATACAGAATAGGAGACAATGTTCTCGTCCTGGGCTCCCAGCACAATCCTGTAGCAAAGAGTAAGAATACAACCCCAGCTGGAAATTTGTGTATAATGCAGAAGAGTGTAACACTGCCAGTCCTGCATGGTGAAGTCTTTTGACTTTGACATATTTAACAGAATATTTAATAATTTCAGAGGGTTACTGAAGGAGCCACATAAATTAGTGGAAAGCTAAAGGACATATTTTATGATAAAAAGCTCACTCAGTTCAGTCTTTTTGTGTGTTGTAAAATAAGTTGAAGAGGTAGCTTGATTATAGTTATTGAAAGCATTTGTAAGGAGAAACTGTCAGAAATTAAAGCATTTTTCACTGAAATGTAAAAAACCAAATCAACAGATCAGGAGTAAATGTGGGCAAATTCAATTCAGTGAGTAGGTACAGTTTTGCATAGTGCAGTCAATAAATCCCTACACAACAGAAGCTAGGAGGTTTGCATCTCTCAGTGTCTTCACTGCAAAACTGTGTGTCATTCATGTCATGTTGAAAATGATCTAGTGAGGGCATCCAGAGGGTGTGCTGGATGGTAAAACACCTAATTGTCCTGCTTTGGATTACATCCATCTATGGGATCTCTTTTGTCTTTGACCTACTGCAACTTAAACGTTTACCTACTGTTGAGCAACCTGCTGAAATGAGATCCAGCTGAGAGAAACGTGTGACACTGTTCCTGAACATATTTTAAAACCTTTGTCTTCTGTCTTCATAATTTCCAAAACAGTTTCTGAATTTACTCATATTCTAGATTTATTCATATGGTCCATTCGTACGGTAAGTCTGCTTTTTCCCATTCAAGTCTGAGACAAAACTTCTGGTGATGTCAGCAGGCATAAAGTCATAAATTGGACTGGAAAATAAAGTTTTTATTGGTATTCAAAATGTTTTTTCTTTTTCCTTTTCTTACAGAGGATGTGTTTCTTTTAGAGACAGATAACCCCAGAACAACGCTTGTGTATGGAATTTTTACAACATCAAGGTAAATGGGGAGATTCGAAAAAAATTGCCTTTCTGAACTGCCCAGTTTTCTACATGAAAACTGAAAGTGATGGTTTGGGGTCAAGGCTGTTCTGTGCAATTTTGTGTGTCTGCTGTGACCCTCATTGGCGTGCAGGAGTAACAGTGTCAGTATCATTACTGTTGATATCCATGTTAGAGCTATGCTGCTTGGAGCAAACTGCTCCCTGCCGTGCGGTCAGCTGGCACTGGGGAAACGTTTCCGCAGAGGGTCACTTGTTACCATTCAGCAGCAGAAAGCCAAACAACATCAACACAGTGAACTCGTGGCATCTGAGAGTGCTTAACACCTCCTGAAGGACATCCAGCACCCTGAAGGGTCAACCCGGGGCTTCTTACATGAATTCATACAAGTCGTTTCCAGTCTCAGCTGGCAAATGATCACACGGATCGCAAATAACCTGTGTTGGCTTCAGTTGGCTATGAAAAGACAATCTTACATGGAATTTGATCACCTTCTTGCAGCGTTAAGCTCTCTGTTGTCAGTCAGAAGTATTCCTTTAGTGTCCAGTTTAGAAAGTGCTCAGTGAGCTCCCAAGGCCAGTGGAAGTACCAGATATAGCTTACTATGCTGAAACTCACCGTGAAGATAGACCAACAGGTGGGCCAACAGATTCTGGCATCTCTGCCTTTATTTTTTTCACTTTTTTCTTGCCTTTACCACATAGTGGTAGTATACAGAGTAGAAATAGTTTCTGCTTACTGACTGCTGATATGCTATCCTGTAGTATTTAGCTGTTATTACTATTACCTTCAAAGAGGGGTTTTGCTTGGGTTTAAATTTCGTTTAATTTATTTGATCAAGTTAGCAAATTATTTAACTTATTACTGATAATTCCTCTAGTGGCAATTTCCAGTAAAGAAATCCTTGCATGAAAAAATATTTTTTCCTGATACACTTTGCTGTCTTTTTCATGTGGATCAAGTGATCTACTTTCTCAAATGTGTGAGCCAGGCAGGAAAATATGATTTTATGATATTTAATTGGGAAAAAAAAATCCTATAGCTTGTAAACATCTGTTGCTGTCTACATTTTATAATTCCTTAATGCACAAAAACAGAAAATGCTGAGGTTATGTTTAGCAGTAAAACCACACTTATGATTAGGTTGTGGATGCAACATGCCTGAACTGGAAACACTTTTACCTAATTCTCCTGGTATTCCTGCAGTGGAAATGAGGTTTGAGTCACAGGACCATATAAGGTGGCAACAAAGAGAAAACTTCACTTTTTCCTGGCTCTCAAGCTGTTTTCTCTCTCTATTGAAAGTTTTTACACTCGTGCATTTCTGTTATCATGAACATGGTCTGTGCTTTCTTTCTCTTTGCCTGACTATAGATTGAATGTGTTACCCAGTTAAATACAGCAATCATAATGATTTTTACTCCTTGGGAGTTCCTATATCTTCAACTCTGTAGACCTCCAACTCCAATAGTAGCAAGAGAGAAATATCCCAGCAAATAATAACTATTAGTACTTTTATCTAAACTATACAGAAGAAAATGAAGTAATATTGAAGCAAATTATTCTGGTGGCATAATCTGCTGTAAATCTAAAATGAAACATCTGGAAAGATTAAATAAATTTCTTAAAACTGATTAATACCTACTAAAATTTCCACAAATACCGTAATCCATCTAAAAGATTCCTCTTGCTAATCCATATATAGCTAAATGCAATGTGGATTGCACTTTCCTTGTTTAGACACTACGTGTAATGTTTTCAGGTTTTTTTTCTGGAGTATTTTCTTTCTTTTTCAGTTGAAAACCGAGGGTTACTTGGATTATCTTCATCCTACAGTTAACATCAGGCAGATTCAGACTGTCCAGAGTTTCCACTTGTTAAGATAAATATCCCAAACCCTCTATGGAGTGAGAGAAAAAAAAAAAAAGTTAATTCACTCCAGTCAGTCTTAGCATCACTCTGGAAATTATTCTTCTAGTGCCCTCCATCATCACAAGGTGATGGAGGTCATTCAGGGCTTGTACTGGCTGAGAAGGCACCTGAGACCATTGCTGAACTCAGAGCAGTGGAAAAACATGCCCTTTTCATAGTGACACCCTGTGTTCTCCTCAGGAAGCATCAGACTTCAACTCTCTTGAAGGGGTCTTTGTAAAACCAACTTTGTGGGTGGCTTTGAGGACTGTATAGGAGTAATTCTTTTTTTTTGCAGCCACAACCTGTCCCCATTTTGCTTAGAAAAGCTTGCAACTGACTGTAATAATCTAACCAATTGTAATTGGACTGGATGTTTTGATTAATATTTTAGCCATATATTTTAGGAGGCTCATGGAGGTCTTGTGGTTAATATACTGGTAGGGAGTTCTGGAAACCTGTGCTGAGCTTGGCAGTACAAAGTTTATAAAACTCCTACCTCACTGAAGTCAGCAATATTTTTGCCATTGGTTTAACAAGGGCCAGATTATATTTCTTTATATTCAACATCAGGAAATTTTCTTATTCCACCAGTAGGGTAATACTGTCCTCCCTCTTTTTTCAGTTCACTGTTCAAAAAGGTACTGTGTCTTGAGGAGTGGTGATGTATATTGGGAAGCTAGATCAGTTGATATTAAATGTATTAAATCCATCCTATAGAAGCATTAAGTTGTATTAAATATATTATTGTAGACGTGTGTTTCATCATTGGACCATGCAAAATGATGGAAAAGCTATAAAAAAGTTGGTAGATTGCAATACTAACTTTTTCCTGCTGTCTTCCAGCTCCATATTTAAAGGCTCAGCTGTGTGTGTGTATCATCTATCTGACATCCAGACCGTGTTCAATGGGCCATTTGCACACAAGGAGGGCCCAAACCACCAGCTGATTCCATATCAGGGCAGAATTCCATACCCGAGACCTGGCACCGTAAGTACAAAGATGTTTATGCAGGCTTGCCAATTACTTGTCTTTGTTTAATCTTATTTATTCCAGGAGAATGGACTATATGTGACTATGACACTTAGTTACCGTTCAGAACAATTTTATTTGCTTCTCAGCTTGCCATAGAAATCACATAGTATCTGGAAATCTTCTAGAAAGTATTAAAAGTCATGCAAAATGCTGGTTGCTCTTGCTATTTCTGCTGAAAAGGTGGTAAGGATTATTTCATTAGATGGCAGTCATATTGTTCACATGTACATTTATATTTTGTGTATATATTTGAGCAGAGGTTAGTTAAATAAATAAGCACACAAAGACAGCATTGTGTCTTCTACAGCCTGGATCCAGACATGTGTAAGTCTGTCTTCAGTCTGTATGAATTTTCCATAGTTCTCTAAAGTTTTACACTCTATTGGGATGCCTGGGAGATGTAGTAGGAGAACAAGGCTTCTGGGACTTGTTGTTTGATAGGTCTGATACTCTGCCAGGCACTGAATCTTAGAAGAGGGACCTAGAAATAGACGAGTCTATGAAGTCGTCTTACAGTTTCTTAAGTATCAGACTTAAATAAGTATGCACAGAATTATAAATCATCTCTCAACAATGTAGTTATAATTTTTTTAGATGAACACTTTGTTGCTTTTCCATTCATCACAGGAAATTAAATTTTATTTTAATTTTGCAAGTCACTGCAAGAACTTTTAACAGACACATGGAATAGCTCTCCCTGTTCACACAATTCTTCATGACATTATAGTGCGGTTATTACTGGCTGTAAGATTTAGGACCTCATGTTCCCAGATTCCTAGAATTAGCTAATCAATACCTGATATTCCACTAAGGTCTAATGCTAGCATTGATCTTTCTTTGCAATTAATTCATACAGCTCTAATCTCATCATGAGTTCACTAAGACATTAAGCTTAAACTTTACAAAAAAAAAAAAGGCTCATTTAAACAGGAAGTTTCGTGCTCTTGTGATTATTCACATTTCAGAGTTTCTTGCTGCTTCAGAATATTGTATTTGTGTGTGTTTCCTCAGCCACTGCCATGTTATTTTTGGTTGGCCTCATGGAGGCTTATGAGATGTTCCAGATGGACCTAAAGAAACTGGGCAGCACAATGGAAAGGGAAAAAGGAAATTCAGATTTGGATTTAACATGGTGACAGAAATTATCTACATTTTTCAGATGTGCTGATAAGCTCTGAATTTGAAGATAAATTCCTAGATCATAGCTCACACAAAAAATCAAGTCAAAAGAGATTCTTTTAAGATGATTCTTGCTGGTTTTCTGATCACTGGCTTTTCTGTGCTTCCTCACAATTCAGCCACAACACAGTATCTTAGAGGTGTGTTTTCTAAGGTGGGACTTGTTTGGCTTTGCTTTTATTTTACTGCCAAAAAATTCCGCTTTTAAGTGCATGCCACAAACTGGTATTTTTCATTTGTGTCAAAGCCTCTGTAAAAATCAGGACATGAGGATTTTTCTGCTGCTCAGAATTTGTGTTCAAAGGGTTAACTTTAAATAGCTACACTTGCAGACTATGGGGCATGAGGCTTTTTCCTCTGGAACATAGGTTTTTTGCAACTTCTAGGACGCTGGACTGGACAGGGATATCTTTTTATGTGACATGGAAAATCCTACTTTACTGTTGCCTGAAGATATATTCATACTAAACTCTGGATAGCAATGAATGTTCATTGTGTCGCAGTACATCAGATAAACAATGAAAAGGCTTCAGTATAGGTTCAGTAGGATTAAATAATGCAATACATTCATTTGCCCATAATCAACTCTGCAATGTTTGGCTGCCCTTCACTAAATACCAATGGTTTCTTATTTCTCCACAAGCAAATCTTACGTTTGGAAAAAGAAAGGGGGAAAAAAATGCATAATTGGCATCTTGCTACTAAATTCAATGATGTTTGAGGATAGTTTCCATTTTTGAGAGTTTATAGAAATAGTTTTTGTACCTACGGCATGTTGGGGAATATGCTGTAAATTAAAGGATTCTGTTTCTCCCTGCAATCTGCCTGCATGGTGATCAACTGTGAACATAATTATCATGTAGCCAAGTCCTTGAATGAGGTGTGAAGGATACACATCCAATCCCTCCAAGAAAGGGAGAGCTTATAGAGTTCTTCAGTAACATCTTTTGCTTGTCATTGGTTTATATGGGGGATAGCAAAAGAATTAATTGATTAAAGATGTTTGTTAAGGCTTTGCTCAGAACAACAATATAATGTAAGTTTTTAGGGTCATACCGAGGTGAACCATAGCACAGGCATTTTTGCTGGAAATCACAGACAAAGGTCTTATGATCTCCAACTCAAGAATGGAAGGACAGAAAACGTCAGAGAAAGTCTTCTTTTAACTGAGCTGTGTGGGATAGGAAAGTTTAATTTGAACTGCTCGTGAAACAGAATTCCTCTGGGGAGGAGCCGAGGTCTGGCAGATCACTACCAACTAGAACAATCTTGCTAATAGCCTACAAAAGATAGTTCATTTTTTCAGCATTTGTTGCTGATCTTAGCAGATAGCTCCATACATTTCCTGGAAGACTGTGGATGGAAGTGCCACAGAGGGAAGGAGCAGAGCAAACAAGATAGTCAGAATTCAATTTTGTGAGGACCTAAAGGGCTAGGATGTAGTGTCATTTCTAATGAAAACCAAACGAAAACCCTCAGGATAATAGGAGTCCAGAAGAATCAATTATCGAGGATGTCAGATGGGAAAACAGACCCATACGCCAGCGGAGTTCTGGTTCTTTTTCCTGAAGGTAACTGGTGTCAAAGCAGTTTCTTTTAAGGAATTCCTACCAAAGCTGTTCTGCTTTGTATAAATAATTAAATCCTAATTGAGCCAGAAAATGATTGTAAAGCCTGGGATTAGGCTGCAGTCCCTCTCTACTTTTTTCCTGGTATTGCCCAATTAATAGTTTGTTATGTGCACAAGATGGTTCAGCTTTTAGCAACGAGGTTAGAATGGGCACTCCTGCCTGGTGGTTAGAGGGATTCCTCCAGGAGGTGAAGACCCAGATCGTAGCATTTGCTTGCATCAAGTAGGCTGGACACATGACTCATTTGTCCACAGTGAGTTTCCTAGTCTGTCAAAGTATGATTCACTTTACGTAATTTTAGCCTTCTAAAAGCAGGGCACCTAGTCTGAATTACTGACTACAGAGGAAACCTAGATGGCTAACTAAGAATAAATGCCTGACTTTGAGACAGTAGAAGTCAGGTGAGGTAAATCTCTCCCTAAGCTAGTAGCTATTTTTGTGTCTGTGGTTTTGACCAGAAATTCCATCCTAGATGTAAGAATGGTGCTCATCAAAATAAACAAGTTTCCATTAAATGCTTTGTATTGAACAAGTCAACATTTTCCAACTGGAAAAATATTCTGTTTAAATATTTCTGAATAGCTCCAATACTCCAAGGCGAGTTTCACAGCTCAGAAATCTGGTAAGGGGTAAAATGACAGCTCAGGAACACCAATAAGAAGTGCGGTAACAGCGGCTGAAAAAAAGTCATGTAAGTTAACATAGGTACATCCACAACATTGTACCAGTTACTGGCATAGCTCCTGATTTCTTCCCACAGTCTTCTTTTAGTTTCACTCTGGGTAAACACGTGAGCTTTCTAAGATTGCTTTTGTTTCCTTGGGAGGTTCAGAATGCCTCAGGGCTGATGATTTGGATGGTTCTTCATTACATTTAAAGAAGCATCCAGAGTATTCATGGAGCTCTGTTATTTCTAGGGTATAGGGAACAGTGTAGACAAGATCGTGTGAATGGTCAGTCTTCTCAGATGTAAATGAGCTGTCAGGGGACTGCCTCATCAACTCTATATTACTGTTTTTTCAAATGAAGATGAGTCACAGACCCTTCTGCCATCTCATAATCAGTGTAGTGACTAGAGGGATAAAAATACAGTTATTATCCGATTTTACCTTTTGCCTTTATACTAAATCTATAACAAACCAACTGTGAAAGTATCTTCTCGTACCAGACGCTTGGATTTTTTTTTTTCAACAGGCAGTTTGGAAGCATAAAGAACGTGGAAATAGGTCCAGAAGTATGGATTTTTGCCATCATACTGGGTTTTGAAACTGCAAAAATGTGCTTGTGTTTCCTTTATCTGAATTGATGTGAGTTCAAAGTGTAGCTATTCAAGCACTTCATTCCTGTTACTGGAACATAATTACTTTCAGTCAGAGTCTGAAGTGCTCTTTCGGGAACTTACTTTGTCAACTATCTGTCAATATTTGTAAATGACTTGGAGATTAAAACTCTCTGAAAGATGGCAAGTATCGTTAAGCGTTGCTGTGCATGTTTGTTACAGTGTCCAGGAGGAGCCTTCACACCTAATATGCGGACAACCAAAGAGTTTCCAGACGATGTTGTGACCTTCATCAGGAACCACCCTTTGATGTTTAATCCCATTTACCCAATACACAAGAGGCCATTAATCATTCGGATAGGAGCCGACTACAAGTATACAAAGATTGCTGTGGATCGAGTGAATGCTGCTGATGGAAGATACCATGTCTTGTTTCTTGGAACAGGTAAGACAAGCTTAGCAACAGTCATTTTCCTCCATTGCATTATAATTTGCAATCAACACCAATCTGTACGATTTATAGGTTTCAGAAATTGTTTAAATGTATTTGCTATCTACAAAAATGTCTATAGAAATCCATAGATTATACTCTTTTTATTTTATATGCATTTTTACGTTTCCTATAAATGTTAATTAGGTGAAAGAGATACAATGTATTGATATGAATTGTATTTGAGACAGAAATCAACACTAGTGTATGTCGTATTTGATCTTAATTATAATACTTCTCTTGAATATGGTCTGTCTGCAACATGATTCCTCGTTAGAGCTTGATGCTCTCTAACATGAGTAAAAATACCAAAATCTGGCTTTGTATTGTTTTGTACACTCTCATCATCATTGTTTAATATATGCTGTGTACGCTACTTCTGAAGAAAATCACAATCTGATCAGGATGTTACAATGGCAGAAAGAACAACTCCACCAAAAAAAAGTAAAAATACAGAAGTATTTCGCAGAGAAAAAGAAACAAGTGGTTAGAGTCCTAGCAGTAGTGGACACAGAGAATTTGATAATAATTTCCGTCTAATATAACCTGCATTTTGGTTTTAGTTACATTGAATTTGAATCTGGCGTTATGCTTCTGAGGTCTGCAGGGAACAGGTCAAGTGATTCTCGTACTGATCAATTTTGATTTTTTAAAATATTCAGATACAAATCACACTCTTCTGATTGAAGCAGACAAGCAGAGTGGTACTCTGGCTAGACCCTGGGATTCGTTCACATCTGAAGCTCCCGCTGGCTTAACAGGGCATTGTAGGTTGATAGGCACAAAGGCTAATCTTTTTTACTACAGATGGTTTCAAGTAGAACAAAGGAAAAGAACTCCAGGAGAAAAAATCTATCTCTGACCATCAGAAAATAATTACAGAGATGGCTTACATTGCTTTTATGGTTCACATATTATTGAGGTCCTGGTTGTTTTCTGCTTGTACAATAACCGTGTCTGCCAGCAAACTCACATGGGGCTGGGAATAACCATCCTGTTATAATAGATTTAGGAAGCCAGTGCTAAAAAATCTCTCAAGAATGTCAGGCTTCTATAGGGGCAGGATTAAAAGGAACTCTCTTCACTCTTCTTAGAAAAACCTCCCCAACTACCAAAATCAGCAGGGTGCCCTTGTGCCGAAGGAGGCCAGCTGCATACTGTGCTGCGTTAGCAGAAGTATATCCAGCCAGCAGGTTGCTGGAAGGGACTCTTCCCCTGTATTTGACACATGTCAGGAGTACCATGTCCAGTTGTGGGCTCCCCAGTACAAGGAAAACATTGACCTAATGGGACAAGATCGGTTGAGGGATCGTAGCATGTGTTGTATGAGAAGAGGCTGAGAGGATTATATTTATTCAGAGAAAGCTAAGAGGAGACATTATTGCTGTTGACAGCTATCTAATGGGAGGGTACAACTATCTAATGGGAAAAAAAACAAATTTGGACTCTTCTCAAGGTGCTTGATATCAGGGTGAAAGGCAATGGACACAAGTTGCAATATGGGACATTGCAATTAGATATAAGGGAAAAGTTTTTCACCATTACTGTGATCAAACATTGGAATAAGGGCCCAGAGAGGTGTTGAATTCTCCTTCCTCAGAGACTCGAAGGGTTCAAAACCCAAACCAACACAAACGCAAGCAACGTGCTCTTATTGGACCTGCTTAGAGTAGGAGACTGGACCAGATGACTTCTTCCAGCCTACAAGCTTCTGCAGTTCAATGAAAGGAAATCAGAAAACACTTCGTTCGTGTTCTTCTGTCAGACCTTTACCAGGTCACCATCCACTGCACTGTGAATGCTTGGCATACTATAGAGCATAGTCAGGGTAGAAGAAGCTCTGGGTAATGAATTACGTTAGGAATTTCATCAGGTTTTGATCTGGGTATTTTTGTTTTCTTGGTTGGCAGCTGATAAATTAGTTTTAAGGTGTTCTTGATCCTACTTGCAGAGTCATTGGAAACTACCAAATTAAGCTAATTAGGACAGGGCTTTCTTCTTGTGGTGAGTTATTTTTCCCCCCTCCCTAACATGTAATCGCATTTTCTTTTTAATTTAATCAATGCAGCTATGGTTCTTGACTTTGGAGCCCTTTAGGGTTATTTTCCTCCTTTCCTTCAGAAGCAAAGAAAAGAGTCTTTATATACTACCACAGAAGTATCAGAAGTGTTAATAGATATTGTCCCTACTACTGTCATACAACTCCACAAGAACTCTTAGTAAAAGAGAAAGTTTGGGTTTCTATTAGCTTTATTCCTTGCCAAATCAGTATGTTTAGCCAGAGTAATAGCTTGGTAGGCTAGTACAGATCATTCGGATGAACATTTTATGCATTTTTTATTAATGTAGTGGTGCCATTGTTTTCAAATGCTATATAAACATTTAATGTTCATTGGAGGAAAATTCTACTAAAAATTAGTGAAAAAGATAAGCCATAAAAGTTTTCAACTAATACAGGCTTCTTAATGTAGCAGTGATAGTTAATACTAGAAATGTATTGAAAATTTGAAATGTGCATGAAAGTACACAATACTGATATTTAGCATTTCTATAATTCTGCAAGAGATAAATACAGTTCATTTCATTTTACACTTTGATTAACTTCTGACTGTTTTTAGGTGATCAGTGTGGCCTCACACATATACCTGTGATTCGGTAAAAACATTATTATACCTCAGCTTGTTCTTATGTTTTGTTAATCAGCACAGGGTCCATTATGGGACAAATGCATAAACTGCAGCCTTTGATACGTTATATTCATTGCTTTATCTTCTGCATTACACTGGAGATGAGGATCATTGTCTACTTTCTAGTTAGTTGAAGGAGAGACATTATTCTTCCAGGGTAGGGCACAGGACATTAATAGCTTCCAAGGTCTTCCTCAGAAGAAATTGATGCAATGTAAGTTACTGGGTTTCTCGGCCCTTTTAAGTAAAAGTGATCAAGTTTCAGCCACTGAGAGGAGAAACTTGTTTTCTTTATTCTCTGCTTTCTGTGAAACTCAGGAGGATTCTATAGAGATATTAACTGTCAAAAGGAATGCAGAGAGGATTTGCTGTGGTGTCAGTTTGTCCTAGCAAATGCAAAAACCACATTGTATAGGAGAATTTCATGTGATAATTTCCTTGGGAGCCTGGAGCCCTATAGCCGGAGACAATGGGACTTGACACCTGGTGACAATTACACTCAGCTTGGATGATAAGTTACTGCTGCTGAACTGAGACGTTGCCAGCCATGTCTGTCACTGTCAGTGACCTGTCTCATGCTTGAAATTGGAGTGTTTTATGTCTTGCCAGATGCAGAGTGCACAAAATGTTTAGCTTTTCCTCTCTTCCTCCTCTATAGCCTCAGTGATAAATCAGTTCCTGAATGCAAGAGAAGAATAACGGAAGTGTAAAGCGGCAAGAACCCCAGTGGTTTGCATCATGTAGCCATGGCATGAGAGGGTATAGGCAGCTGTGTCATTTTTTCACATTCATGTGAACTAAATGTAGTGTTTCCTTTGCGCCCCCAGACAACAGTGCTGAGCTCACAGGGGCTGGTCTGTGCCCAGGGTTACTACCTTGCTTTTCTCCCTCCCTCGCCTCCACAACTAACAAAGTAAATCCCAGGGACAGGCATTGTTCTTGCAGCATTCCACCGGCTTTTCAAATGATAACGATTTCCCATTTTCCCTGTGCTTTTCAACCTGAAGACTCTCAAAGCCCTTGACTAAACTCGCTAGTTTTGTTAAGTCCACCCCAAGGGTCTCTTCACCCTCCTCTGAAATGAGTTGATTTAGAGTAAGGAGCAAGTCTGTAATGGCAGAGAGCAGTGCTCCAAGAAGTGAACACTGCGTACCTCATCTTCCCAAACAGAAACCCGAGGGACAATTTGCTTGGATATAATGTAATCACTTATTTCCATATTTGACAAGGGTGATGCTGATAATACTTTTTCTCTATACAACGAGTAATGACATAAGCAGTTCAGGAATTCGGAGTTAGAGTTCTGCTTCGATTATCCCATTTCTGTGGTAGGCCAGGACTCAGTCCTGAAGTTTCTGATTCACCCTAGAGTTTTACTGTAGTTACTTTACTCATTTCAGTTATATCTAAAGAACCCAAGCTTTCAACATTTCCATTTGTCCTTCGGTAGATTGTTGTCCATCTGAGTTTTAAGAATAGCAGTAAAACAGCATGAGAACATTTTCCTGAGATTAATATTTATTTTTTAAGCATACCACCTACTGCTTGCAGTACGAAAGCCTTCGAAGTACACGCAGGTTGCACAACTGTAACATTATGCATGATTTTTTTTATTGCTCTTGGTGTTATGAAAATATTTGAATGTCTGGGTCAAACTCGGGTACATTAAACAGCCATGGACACCAATAGAATCTTTTTCAGCTCCTTGCTATCAAGATAGTATATGTTTTTATGGAAAGAGATCTAAGTTACTGTCATGAAAAGACACTTCAGGCTTCAGTGTGGCTTATTCAGATGATTAATATGTGGGATATCATGCATCTGATGTGGCATGAAGTTGATCAATGTTTCTTATTATCTTTTCTTCTCTGATGCAACACTTGTTTTCAAAGTCTGGATGCAGTAAGTGCCTTCAGAGCATAAGGTTGTAATACTCGTTTTCATGGTGTTACATGATGCCTGTCTTTTTGGAAAACTAACCCTCGCTGACAACAGTAGCCTCCAGTAATGCAATAGCCAAAATCATATAATGAGCTACAGATTCTAACGGAGAGAGTTAATCTGGTCAGAAGAGGAAGATTGCCTCCCATAGATTTGCTGGCTGCAGATTCGTAACTGTGAGCTTGGGAAGATGATGTTGCACAACAGTGGCACAACAGGCAGCAGGCAGTTTCCTTCTTCCTCTTGGTCATACTGCCTGAGTCATTCAAAACCTTTTATTGATTAACTCATCCAAAGCTTTTTCACAGCCTTTTATGAAGATATGTACGTTAAGAGGGTGTTCCTCCATCTGTTTCATTTACCCTGTTCAGCTTTTGTTCAAACATGCTCAC